GCCAGTGAGAGAGACTTGGCTCACTGTCAGATCGTGCACAATACAAGGGAGACAACTCCGCCAGTGTCATGTACGCTACATCCACCGATCACAGCACATTGCCGGGTGCGGGCTGCACAAGTCACAGTTGGGTCAGCCAAAACTAACATGGCCAGTGAGAGACTTGGCTCACTGTCAGATCGTGCACAATACAAGGGAGATCACTCCTTCAACCACCACATACAGTCCCATATCTCCACACTGACTACTCGGAATGTCACATGGGAAAGACGGCAGATATTACGATGCAAAAGTTCATCTATTTTAGTATGGTTGCTGATTCGGGCCATCGCTGGAGTCACCATAATTTAGAGCTGATGAAGTACGTGTTTGATGATGATTATCTGGGGACGACCAGAAGAAAAGATTAATTGTTATTATCTGGCGGTGCTTTTCACTGTGTAACGCTTTTCTAAGTGTAATACTTTACATGTATGGATATACAGAGTGCTATATATACTGTGTTCTGGAATGTACTGCAACCCTACGGGACTTTGCACTATATTCCGTTGATATATGACCAGATGGTAAGCAACGTGCAGTAAACCTGGACAGAGTACTGTGACTATGTGTCCCAGTCCACCCAGCTGTGAATGGGTAAGGATGAGAAAGTCGTAAAACTCGGTGCGCCTAGTGGCTGCAAGAGTTGTATACTCCCCAGGGAGTTGAGATTGATAATACGATGTCCCGTTGAGATTGACATCCAGTGATCGAGGCTAATACCAGCGCATGGAGCATGTAATGGTTACGTGGATATGTTCGCTATATACATATCCTATTGTAATATCCTGACCCAGGGAGTTTGAGTTCTTGAGTCTTGTGTGTATAAGGGGAGCTAACTCTTGCCTCTCAACTCACATCACACTTCCAGTTACAAGAATCAGTCTGGAAACGTGAACATTGTTGCTGGAATATTACCATGTCTGTGTTTATTGCTAGGATCACAACTTTTACATTACACTGTCTTTTAATCTGTCCAACTACCTGCACTCTAGTTTGGTTTGCCGGAGTAATTCCGTAGGCTATTTTCCGTTACTGAAAATGGGAGCTTGCCTTATTATCAAGGGTTTGATGAAGTTCTTCAGTTTTGTTTGCCTAAAACGATTCATATAGATCCAGACTCCAATTTCATGTTAGGTTTTTCCCCAAAATATACAATGTGTCATGGAAGAAATTACAATGAATCTGGTCAGTGAGATGCCGCTGTTGCTCCTGTAGATCATGATTGGGGTAACTGATAACGTGTGACTTTGAAAGGTTTAGTGGTATTGATGACTACTCTAGCCCTAAGGGACCTAATGTCTACATTGTAGGTAATGTGTATGTTAATCTGGGTAATTTGACACCTGAGGGAAAAGCTCAAGCCCCTGAGTTAGGTCGAGAGTTCACTCCCCTGTTTGCAGGTGTGCCTGGTTGTACAGATTGTATGTGTCACGATATATAGATGGAGTTGACTCTGTGCCTGTGAAACAAAACCTCAATTGGGCCCCATCTGTGTCAGCGCTTTTGAATCATATAACGTCTATGATGTTTTGGGTGATAATCAGACCAGATATTGGTGTGGGTTTTTATGTTGGTTGGTTGGATGACCCTGGCAGGATCTAAGTGAAGAACAGATCCCCCCTAACCCATGCTTGAGGTGGTCAGACTGGGGCTGACTTGTCACAGTGACCGAATGGGGATGTGTTCATTCTTTCAGTCACACGGTTGACGTGATTGTGGCAGACTGAGCTGTATTGCTAGCTGTGGCCCCCGACAATGTGTACTTGTGATTGACTCAATGTGGTAAAGCTTTGGGGAAGCCTAGTGGTTAACACAGTCGCTTGTCATGCTGAAGACATGGGTTTGACTCCCTACATGGGTTCACTGTGTGGAGCCAATCTCTGGTGTCTCACCTGGTGTTGTTGTAATGTTGATAAAAGCGGTGTAAAACCTCACCCACTCACTCACTCTTGATCAGTCCGTGTGTTATCCCCTTTATGCTCCTACATTTTATCATCTTTTAGTATGATTGGGTGGGGATCGAAACCAGACATTCCGCTCTCCTGGTAGATACTCTGTCAACTTGACCATGATACTCTGTCAACTTGACCACGATACTCTGTCAACTTGACCACGATACTCTGTCAACTTGACCACGGCACTCTGTCAACTTGACCACGATGCTCTGTCAACTTGACCATGACACTGTCAACTTGACCGTGATACTCTGTCAACTTGACCATGATACTATGTCAACTTGACCACGATATATGAGCCTTTTTGCTGTTTTAATTAATATTTTAATTTTGAACATTTTGATAGGATTCCTCAAGTCTATATTCCCACACAGGCGTGAAGCTAAAATTTTGTGAAATGAAAGAATTCTGAGGACAATGTGAAGTTAGAAGGAATAAACTTATTTTTATTTAACTATGTCTTGTTACGGTACTCTTCCCACGCACGTTCCAAAACTTATGAACAAGTGCAACGGGTAGGTGAACGGACCTCAGTATATGAAAATGATAAACAGTGTAAAATCTGAGATTGGCTTTGTTTTCATTCCAAGCAAGTGGTCCTTTCCCAGCGCGGCATCTGATATATTTATCCAGATTTCACTGAGACACTTGGTATTGATTACAAATACCATTTGTTATTGTATGTTGAACTATCAGTCATTCTCACTAAAAGTGGACAATTCCAGTCGTGGAGTTTGCAAGATGCGATTTATGAAACTAGGAGCACTTTTTTATCTTTAAATACAGTAATAATAACGAGTAAAGTAGAGGAAACACGAATAGAGAGAAAGCACTAATTAGGAAGGTCATGCCTGGCTGGTTATTGCCAGCTTCTGAGCGTGGTTAGCCATGAACAGTCTTCACACATGCAAACAACTTTAGTCAATGATAAATGGTCACAATTGGCAGCTTCAATTATCAGTTTCTTATCAAAATGATTATACGTTATATATGTATCAACTTAACTTATAACACGAATCATTTGTTTAAAATGACAAATGAAACGTTAAAGAAACATAACAAGACTATAAGTTATATATGTATAATTTGTTTATTTTTTGTATCTGCAACTTTATCTATATCATGAATCATATATATTTTAGTAACATTTGTAAAATGAAATAAATTGGTAAAGAGTTGAACTGACTTGAGTGTTACCCCTACTAATTTCCTACTAATCCTTTGCTAATCCCCTTTGTTGCACCATTAACTTTAATTATTTCCTTGACAATGAAACTGGCAAAGTGGGAGGACACCGTGTAATTCACGTTATGTCAGATTGTATTACCAAACCAACCAACCAAACTCTTTATTCTCTACAAACCGCCAACGGCGGTACATGAGATAAACGTATATGCATTTACATAATATACAAGATAGCAGCTTACACGATAGAAAGATATAAGATAATTACACTATTTCATTTCTTAAATGCATTAAATACATGATTCAGTAATTTAGAAAGGCCTTTAAGGTCGCTTATGCTGGTAGTAGACAAGAGTTTCTTAAAGATGGGCAAATTTGGAAATTCTAGGTGTTCAGAGATTGACTTCGCAGTTGGAGAAAAGCTTCACATCAAAACAAGTAGTGAAATTCGTCTCCACCAGCGTTTGATACACAAAGTGGACATTGTCTGCCTTCACGTGGAATGCCCAACCATCGGCCTGTCTCAATTGGTAATTTATGGTTAGATGTTCTAAACTTCAAAATTGGGTAGTATATATATTTTGGAAGAAGAAGAAGATATTTTTCTAAGATTGGTTGGGTTTTGAAATATTTATAATAATCCCCCTTGGAACGTGAATCAACATTATACTTCCTATTTTGGAAAAACTGGGCTCTATAGGTGTTTTCAACCATTAAGAAAAGCCAAAGCGTAGAGCATACAGACGGATTTAGAAACACGTAGGACAGACCGCAGTTATCGTCAATTCGACAATTCGACAATTTTATTATTCAAAAACCACCTTCGGTGGTACAAGAGCATATTTTAGCAACAATTCATGTACAATTTATATGCATGCATCTTAGATAGACAACTGAATACAATAAATAATTCCTTATACATATGTACAGTTCCCTATATATAAATAAGTGCATATATTAATAGGTGGATAAACACAAACGCTTATCAAAGATTGGTTAGCATTTTTTGCAACTGTAGGATAAAATTTGACAAAAAATTCTTATATCTAGTAGTAGTCGGAGAAAGAACAAGGACTAATTTAAATATATTGTTAAGATATTTTGTGGTGGGTATATATTGTTCAAGATATGAATTAAGTGCTGGAAATTTAAGAATATAGTGTAATTCATCACCGATTACACTTAAATTACAAATTACATCCCTCGGTATACTTTGCCATCTTCCAGTCTCAATTACATTTAGGTTTACATTTAAAGAAACATATTTCTGTAAAAGTAGCTCATAGGTATTTTTCAAAAGCAAGAAATTGTTTGTAATGTTGATAATACATTCCTTTCGGGCTAGATTTGATACTTTCCCTCCACTGTTGAATAAACTGGTCTGTTAAAACTTGTCCAGCTTTCAAAACTAGAGAAGACGTGGTATATACCGAGGGATTTAAAAATACATATGATAATCCAATTCTATCTAGTAAACCCTTGATAAAGTGAATCCAAGGATCCGACCTAAACATTTTATTGTATTTATTTAAACTGTAATTAAATAACACATGGGATAGTTTAAGTGTATCAGTATATGTTAGTTTGTGCCAAAAGGATAACATATGTTGATATTTTTTAATAGATATTGGAGTTCTGCAAAGTTCGCCGTAAACCATAAAATTCGGCGTAGATTTGCTTAGTCCAGATGCAAGTTTCAGAAATGTTAGGTGAATATTCTCTATTAAGTCAAGTTTTTCAAATCCCCACACTTCTGATCCATAGGATAAAATAGGTGTTATCATCACATCAAAAGCCGATAATAAACAATCTATGGGCAAATTCAAATTTCTTGCTTTTTTCAGCAGGCTATACATAGCCTTTGTAGCGTTTTCGGTTATAGCTTTTATGCTAGTTACCATTCTTTTGTTTCTGTGTAGTTTTATACCAAGATATACATAACTGTCAACTAAACTAAGATTTTTCTCCCCAAATTTAAATATCATTTTTGATTTAGCTGCTGGGCCTGAACCGAATACTAATTTTTTCGTTTTTGATACATTTACATTTAGTTGCCAATTAGTGCAATATTCATGGAAAGAATCAAAATACTTTTGTAGGGCTTTAGGAGTAAGGCCAAATAAAACAGTGTCATCAGCGTAAAGTAGCAATAAAATTTGCAGCCAGATTTGTATTTCATTTTCATTACATAATTCCAAGTTAACTCCTTCGCAACCATCCTCATACAGATTATTCTCTAGATCATTAAGACAAATTGAAAATAAAAGTGTCGATAAGTTCTCTCCTTGCCGTACCCCTTTTTGACATGGGAAATAATCGGATGTACTGTTTTGTGTAGTTACTGTTGACTTAGTGTTACGATACATACTTTTTACGAGCTCAAGAAATCTTCCATGTATACCGGACTTTTGCATCTTCGTCCATAGACCGATTCGCCAGACAGTATCAAATGCTTTTGTGAAGTCGATGAAGGCACAGTAGAGAGTTTGCCTTTGTGATGTCAGTATACTATTAATTGTCCGCAAAATAAATATGTTATCAGATGTTGTAAAATGTTTTCTAAAACCTGCTTCAGCGGGAGTGATGATATTGTTTTGTTCAACGAAAGATGTTAAACGCGAGTTTAGTATAGAGGTAAAGAATTTTCCAACACAGCTTAAAACAGTTATAGGTCTGTATGAACTTGGGTCAAGTTGGTCACCCTTGTTTTTGTATATCGGTTTTATAACTCCAATCAGCCAAGAATCGGGAATTTTACCTGTTGTAAAAACGAGGTTGAACAATTGAACATAGAAGGGGGCAAAGATGTCAATAGTATCGATTATGTAATCATTTTCATTATTGTCCAAGCCCGCTGCTTTATTTCGTTTAAGTGTTTTGGCGATAGACATAATTTTTTCAATGCTAATGTCTTTATTAAGAATACTACAGTAATATTCATAATCGGGATGGTTACTTTCTTTGAAATTCAATTCATGTTTGCTGTAGTTTTCTGCATTTAGATCTCTATAGTATTCAAAAAAAGTTTTGGTATCAGGAATCGCGATGCTATCTTTCGGGTTTCTATCTTTGAGAAATTCCCAGTATTCTTTCGGTGCATTTTTCATTTTTTCTCTAAACAAATTTTCAAGAGATATCCTATGTTTTCTAATATGTTCATCTAGGCATTTCTTGTAAGCTCTCGAATCGGTGTGTAGGTTTTGAAGATTAGACTGTGATTTATTTTCGTTAACTTTTCGTTTTGCTTTATGGAATCTTTTTCTGAACTTTCTACATTCTATATTGAACCACGGCTTGTTCTTACGATAGCGGGGTGTGTATTTCATATGTTGTCGTGTCCCAAATGTTTCACGTGCAGCATTAACAAGCAAGTGCGCGAAGCGATCGGAGAGCGTGTTGATAATCGATAAATCGTCATGGTTGGATACCGCTGTACGGACAAGATTTGTAATTTTTTTTACTCTATTCATGTCAACATTTTGGCGAAAAGTTGCTATTTTATCGAGATTATAACGTTTAGGTTTAGCCGTTTTGCTGTTATCTACATGATGAATAAGTTTAGGTACCTTTACTACATCGGGAATATACTTGCTTTTCACACAGCAAAAAAAAATTGGTTTCCGCAATGCGGAAACCTGATGGAAAGTGGACTGAAACTTATGTTTCCACCTAGAATCCAGTGAGTTTCCGTTCTGTTACACTGAGTTTCCGCAATAACGGAAACTTACAATTATCCACTTTCTAAGGGTTTCCGCAAGGTTTCCGTTACCCACACTCCAACAAGTTTCCGTTGAGTTTCAGTTAACTTTGAATCCATCAGGTTTCCGCAAGGTTTCAGTTATTAAGACTCCAACAGGTTTCCGCAGAGTTTCAGTTACCAACAATCCGACATAGTTTCCGCATAGTTTCAGTTACCAACAATCCGACATAGTTTCCGCATAGTTTCAGTTACCAACAATCCGACATAGTTTCCGCATTGTTTCAGTTACCGGTTTCAGTTTCAGGTTCACAGTTTTTCATGTGCGTTTGAAAGAGCCAAATTTAAACATTCTTCTTTATTCATATCATAAACTCTTCTTAAAAACAATATAAGCGATTGTTATTATCATGACGTTTACTTAAAAAACAACAGAATATATAATAAGATTCATTGTTTTATTTTCTCAACATGAATATGAATTAGCATTTAAGGCAAATAAAGATCATACATATAACTCGTAATATAGCACTAAAGAACAGGGCAAAACATTTTGGCATAACTCAATCCAGTTTAAGAAATCATATATCATTTATAACAAAGTAGTAATATTTCATCAGTTAAACTTTCATTCACTTATTATCTTGAAATAGCATTTTAGATATGAAATTTATTTCTAAATTCATGCTAATGGTGAAATATAACAATATCATACAACTTAACACAGTAATAAAACTAGCTGCATCGGACATTTATTTGCACGCCCTGGCATTCAGCCACACACTCCATGTCACAACTATCGCCAAACATCCACTATGATATACATCATACAATAACACAACATACAGCTTGCAATACAAAAATAAAACAAAATAAAAATTACATTATGAAATTAAAAATAAATTCAATTAAATTGCAAGAGTTGGTCAGTTAGCCCACTTAGGGGCATCCCTGGCGGAGATCCCTCTGTTACTTTGGTTTGATGCCTCATCCTCGTCCTCATGTTGGCCTTGACGAGAGCAGTGGAGGTGTAGATTCTTTCCAAGTCCAGTGTCGTCGTGTATGTCCTAAGCTTGCTGGACTCCCAGGCAAAGGGGACGGAAGCAGCTAATTGACGTCATCTTCGTCACTCACGACTGGTGATGTCATGTCTATGGTGAGTGTTGTCGCTACCTTTTTCTTTCGTCTAGCTGGCCAATCGATAGATGCAAGTCTGTTGAGGCGTTGTGCAAGTTTCTGAAAATGGCAGGTAATAACGAATTACTAGGTTATTTTGATAAATTATACAAACATCAATCAACAAGAAACTGACAATGCCAAGGATGATTTAAAATGAGTAATCCAAAAGGAAGTTTGAATAAACGAGGACTAAAGTGAACAATGACACTTTGCACTGGTTTTCTCAAAACTCAAATTATGCAAGTCATCACACTTCATTGACCGAATGAAATATCTTATTTTCTAAAGAGGACACACAATCTATACAAAATTTGCTCTGGAGTTACATGCTTCCCAGACCAGAGGTAGTAATAGGTTATATATATATATATATACATGTATATATATGAACATTTATTGCTTTTTCTATATAGTTATAATGGTACTAGTAATAGATTTTCATCAAGTTGCTATATTCAATCTCTTACAGTTCGTATTGTTGAGCCCATTTTTGGTGTCCCCCGCCGTGATGGTGCTGGAATATTGCTAAGAGCGGCGTAAAACTAAACTCAGTCAGTCACTCGTATTGTTGAAGGCACAAGTATATTCACCCAGTGTATATAGACGTGAATAATACAAGACATGAATGTTTACGGATGTCGACGCCTTTATTATGTGATAAAACACGTTTCGGGTGAATGCTTATACCTGACGAAGGGGTAAACATTCACTCTGAAACATGTTTTCACATAATAAAGGAGTTGACATCAATAAACCTTGTCTCTACACTATTAATTGGAAATTATTTACTATTTATAATGAAAGTCACTACAGATAGGTCAAAATTACCTTCACATGTTCCTGCTGACCATCCTTGGTCATCTATTATACAGTCTCCAGACTCATCATCAGCTTTGCTGAAAAAAACAAACAATAACACGTTACTTTTCTTTGCATTTCCCCATTCATTCATTCGAGTTTTAAAAAAACAATTACAGCGACATTTTATACCAACAAGCAAACTACAAATTTATCACTTCAGGTTATGCAATCAGTAAGTGAACGGCCTGTCATAAACATCCTGATGAATGAAGTTTAGTTATCTCATGTGACATAACCTTGGAGTAATTACGGTATTGTAAAATCAAGGGGTCAGTTTGATTGCAATTTCACACAGGTGTGAAGTTAAAGCTTTACTTGGTCCAATTTGAAATCATGATTAAGTTACCTGTTATTCAAATCCATTTGCAAATGTAACCTTGGTTTGGTTCATTTTGTGAAAATGTATCTAGGGAAGCATAATAATAAAATATTCAAAGTGAACTTATGTGTATGTTTCATAGTACCATAAACACATACCTTCAGTATGGTCATTCTTTTCCTCCAGGAGTAGTCGTGACACATGTTTCCTCACAACAGCCTAAATGAATAAAACAAATCCATTAATATTTAATCTATTTGCTATATTTTCGATAGACTTATTTTACTTTACCAACCTTTGAAAATAGTTCGAGCAAAACTGTTTATGCGGTCATGGACTTAAGTATACGTCAGTCGGCAAAATTCTCATAGACTTGCAGGCTGTTTTAGTGTAGCTATGTAATTCTAATAATTCAGTTTTGGTTTTCAAATTGTGCAGGTTGTTAGGAAATCATCTTGGTAACAGATACATAATTTCCTTCAAGTATTTTCCGCATTGTAGTTACATGAGCAACATATATACAACATTGCGTATTCTTTCCCCATAGACCGCCATGTTAAAAATTGCCAAAACCACGACATGCATCAGTGTGGTCATTCTTGAAATACTGAATTGAAAATAAAACAGTAATTATGTCTTTGTAGCGGGGATGATTCATGACCCATGTGCAAACATGAACAATATCAAATGGATATTAAATAAATTCAACACATTTTTCTAGCTGCACCAAATTAACATGTAAGCCTATGGAAATAATACATAGTGACGAATACCTATGGCCAGTGACCGTAATTCGATAGATTAGCTTGTTTACCAATCCGGATTTCTGTACGTAACGTAAATAATTCATTAAAC